TAAAAGCCCATGCCAATATGTTAATCATATTGCAATATTCATTATGCTATTTTTAGGAACTGCAATTAACATTGGGGGCGGCGGATGAAAAGTTCCGCTTAGTCATGGAGGAAGACACTATGGTAATTCCTCCACTAACGGTATCGGATGGCGAGTCGGAAATTCGGTGCGAAACTCCGAAAACGCCGAGGCAAACACCGCGCAGAACCGCTAAGCGGAAACGTGCGGAAGAATCGCCAACAAAGGCGAAATTTTTAAGAATTGCCGAGGCACAGGCCGAATCAGAAAAGGTAATTTTTTCAATACTGTATTTGTATTGAATTATTAATAAAACTTTTATTTTCTTAGAAGCTTGCTGAAAGTGCTGCAACCAACGCGGAGGCCAACCGCTCCAATGCTGAGGCAATATGCAGAATGGCTGCTGCCACAGACCGAATGGCTACCGTAACTGCAACAATGGCAGAGGCCTTCACGGTGTTGGCGGAGGGGGTGAAAGCTTGTGCGCATGCTTTCGCCCAGTTTACTAATTCACTGGGCCCTCCCCGATAGATGTAAATTGTTTGTGTATATACTTTTCTTTTGCTTTTTTAAGGTTCATTAATTTTTTGTTAAAGTTAAGCTCCTTAACTAACAAAACCAATATAAGTCCAAATTTGAGACTTTGTACAAAAATTATAAAAATTCCACAAACTGTTCTTCACAATTCCAAGCATTTTAATTTTGATTTCTAGAATAATGCAATTTTATAGCTTATTAAAATCGAGTATAATAAAGTGCAAATTATTCTATAAATTAAATTTATAATGCTTAAGATTGGGACGAAAAGTTTATGCAATTTCTATAATTTTTGTACAAAGTCTCTAATTTGGACCTATATTGGGTCTGTTAGTTAAGGAGCTTAACTTTAACAAAAAATTAATGAACCTTAAAAAAGCAAAGAAAAGTAGTCAAAACTGGTAAAAATTTTGATTTGCTATCTTTTGTCGCGGGCTGTATGTATATATTTTTATTAATAATAGGTTAGAGTATTATTAACTTATTTGTTGGTGCCTTTTTACTTTTTTGTTTTTCAAATGAATTGTTCTTAGTTGAATATTGTTTTCTGAATTTGTTTCTAGTGATAAGTGTTCGTGCCTTGAGTATACGCTTTTTTTTTTTAATATTCGCAATGTTTTTTATGCTATAAATTTTTGCTCAGTTTTTTTTTTCAAAGGATGGCTCATATTTTAACAAATACTATACAAATCTAAGTTTCAAACTGTATACATAAATTAGAAGTATTCTGCCAAGTTTTATCCAAATCGCAAGATTTTTAATAAGAATTTCCAAAAAAAAAGTATGTATGCATCCCAATTTTATTATGATAATTTGCAAATTTCAAATGTCTAAAAATTTGGGTTGTTCTTTTAATAATTTTTAGCTGTCCTGTGCATTTTTTCCATATAAAGCATTTTCAAACATTTTTTATATGGTAAAAATGCATAGGACAGCAAAAAATTTGTATAAAACAACGCGCATTTTCAGACGTTTCAAATTTGCACATTATCATAATAAAATTGGGATGGATACATACTTTTTTTGGAAATGGTTA